CGGAAGAGGTTGCGGTGGAGTTTTACACCAGCAGCAGCAGTGGAGTGTTACACCAGCACTACCAATTGTGACACGCAATTATCTAAGAGGTTAGGTTAGGCTTGAGTTTGGGGCAGCCGACTCAATACAATATTTAAGTTAGCTTCGCCAAGACTAAATCAGCGTCATCCGATGTGACAATCGATTGGATCTCGTGGACTTGCTTCCATATCCCTACGACACCTCCTCTCCTATTGCCTCGCATATGCTCTATCTGATGACTAACTACTCATACTGTGAAGTATCATTACGACAGTGTGGTTATCATCTCGCCAGAGTAGATTTCACTCTTTGTCAACCATGATAAGAGATTCTGGATCATCGCCACGGGCGAGGAGTTCCGCAAGTGAGATAATGTATATAATGAATACTAGAGAATGCGAAACAACCAAGTTTGTAAGATTGTGGTGCCACCGCTTATTATAACATAACCAAAGTAAAGCGCGCGCTCTGATTGGTCAATTTAGCGTCCCCCATTTGCCCATGGGTGTACGCTGCTGACGTGAGCAAATGCAAAGACTATTTTCTCAAGAAGAGAAAAGCGACTCAAGAAGCTAGAGTCGCTCTCGGCTATCGCCTCGAGCGACTCTTACGCTTCTTTCGTGCTTAGCAACCTCCCGCGTGCATCCATAACTCAATAGTGTACGCTGTGGTGTTTACCATTTGTTAAGTCTGGAGCATCGGTTCACGTGCAGAACATCTGCCCAAAAAGCTGGGGATTGTGTACACCTGACGGTCACTCGTATACCTTTACAGGACACGTGAAAACACGAAATGAACGGTAGATGTTCCCTTTTACTTGCTTGGAGACACACTTTTGAAGATGGCTAAGAACTAGAAAGCAACGTTGGTCATTTGTACTTAGGTGAAGTGTTCAGATGTGTTCCAGGATAGGACAATGTGCGTGTAGCCGGCATTAAGACCAAGATAAAAGTGAGACAAAATAGCAAACTGATGTATTCTCCCGGAAACCGTTTCTTGAGAGGTGTTTTTGCTTGTGTTATTTAGCATGTTTGTATTTAAGGAGTTTTTGATAAACATCAGCGGAGTGCAAATCGCTGCGTTCAATTTAAACCTATGCACGGCAGAGAGGCCTGGGCAAATAAGCGACTTTTTCCAATTCATGTTATTTAGGTAGGGGGCTAGGTAATATAGGAACCAAGGAGATTGCAATGTACTGCCGAATCGTCCAGAAATCACTGCCTTGAAAGGTAGCGTGTAAGTTAGGCTGGTGACTGTAACAATATTGATGTAATCGTTAATTCACTTCGCTAATGCCATAGTACGTCACTTATGCCACTGTAACCGAGAGACCATGCTTTCCGCTTTTGCCTTTCAAGCCGGTGATCGTGTGTGTTGAATAAACAAGTCGTAACTTGTTTCTGCCTTCTTGTTCTTCATCCGAACAACCTTACAGTGACCTTCAAGGGAAAGAGGAAAACTATTCGGCGGTTGAAGTGGAATCATTTGACTTTCAATGTCCGTAATTCCTTCCTTTTTTGAGTTCAATAATTTATGATTCATCAAAAATTTTTTTTCGCTATTCGTCGTATATTTTAGAGTATATCTTATATTTCCCAAGTCGTAAACACGACCATCAGTGACTCCTTGTTATTTACTGAACCCTTAAACATGGAGAAATGAAATTTAAATGTTCTCTCTGAAGTATAACTACTTACACTGCTTTACAAAGAGTAACGAATCATTAAGACTCATTTCAAATAGCACCCCCATAAATCGATTGATGATTTCAACACAGTGTGGAACGAATACTTTAGCATTTCTTTAAGTTTTATGAATATTTTCTTGGCAGAACAGGTTACCAAAATACTGACACTTCCTGTGGAAAACGCTTGATTTTTGCTCAGGCTTTCTCAGTAAGGGCTTCTTTACAAGAAGGTGGGCGACCCCAGATAGCTGAGGTCACCAGCCAATCCAATTTCTTATTCTTTTTCTTATTTACGCGAGAGGTGGAGTGACCCTCCTACAATCTGCGATTAAGTTGTTGACACATAGATCTTTTCAACCCCTTAGTACTTCAATTTTATCTCTTTTTCTCTCGTTAAGTTAACCAATTCGCCCCCTTCTCCAAAAACAATGCTGTATCGGGACTCCATGAACTTTTAGCCATCATTAAATGGGGGAGGGGGTCTGTGTATGATTTAGAGTGTGATAGAAACAAGACTGTTATTCTTCACAGAGATAGAAATCGTCAAACATGATGTTTAAACTAATTTTGACGCTGATGGTGGGCGGGTTACCTGGTCTGCCGGGTAGTGTAACACTGTTAGCCGAGGTGACAATTTGCCATGATAACTTTCAAAGTGGAATAAGAGACCAGAAAAGTTATCATAATTCTGAAACATCCTGTGGGAAACGCCTGGTTTTTGCAAGAGGCTCTCTCGAAATCTATTTTGGTGATGCCACTTTATGGAAAGAAATCAATCAACATATCGAAGCGGGAATTCCTGTATAGTTTGGAAAAACTCGTTGAGTAGGGTCACGATCACCTTAATTCGGGCGTAAATAAAAGCGAAAACACCTAACCTAAAGCAAAAATCAGAGGTGGTTTGAAGATTTTGTACCGTCGTTGTGGTGACATGGAAAGTGAAAAGCTGTACATTTCATGAGCAAACTCATTTTGCCGTGAACCTTTGTAAAGTAGCAGCATCGTGAGTTCAATTTGATCACGCGACGACACGTGACCAAAACACTTTGAGATTACGAATGTAGCGGCCGACACAAGCGAAGCAAAATTTCGACGACAGCTATGAGTTTCGCAAATGAAGACACACTATGAAGCGAGGGTATATTTTACGGACAAGCCTTGGATCGTTTTATTAAACGTAGTCGTGGTATCCAAGTATTTATCGTAAACTGAAATATGAATTTATAAGCAGAAGCTAAGCTAAATTGGAATGGACAAACCAACATTCCGATATAAAGGCAAGATGCAAAGCTAGCTAAAAACTCAAACAAACTCACAAAAGAACTATATATATATATATAAGCACAAGGAAAGGAACATTAGCACTTACATAATAGTCCCGCTTGTAAGAATTTAACCAAAACGAACTTCAATATAAGATAGGTGTTCAAAAGCGAAACGGGAAATCCAAACAGACACCTTTATTCCAACACGGAAAACTGTAGACTCACGGTAAACGACAACGACCATTAAACAAACCGCCAAACGATAAACTAAAAAACTTTTCAACTCCTATCTCAAAATCGCACACGTTAAAAATTAAAAAGGTCTGCGTGATTTGCTTACGATATTATTAACCAACGTAATCCCAAAGCACGCGCACGCGAGTCGCGTGCGCACAAGTTTGTTAACGTCTTCGTAACAGTAAGCAAAAGGCGCTCTTCTGATAAACACGTCTTATCGTTAGCCCACAGAAGACAACTAACCAAACGGTGGTTCTGGGAGGAACTTAAAGATCACGTCCCTAAAGGACTAACAGTAGCGTCATTATTGTGGTTTAACACGTTTAACACGAAACAAGCTTATGGCGAATCAGTGTTCGGTGGCCAAGGCGTGGCAGCCGTTACAACAAATTTTTACCACCATCGCTATGTTTCTTATTATATGGTGAACAATAGCGATTTGAAACCTATAAGCGTCAAACTGGAAGGACTAAGTGTGAAAACTCACTGCGTGACCTAATGTCATACCCTACTTGACTCTGATGGTAAAAGTGAGCGAGTCAATGTGTTTTAGAACAACAATAAAAAACATTTCAGAAGAATTTCTTAACCTTAAAGACATTAACCGTCAGCCATTAAATGACCAAAATTAGCCGTATAAAAGCCATAAACCCAATGAGACGCTCCGATTTACAACACCAACGTCACAGTGTTTTTAATCCATTTTTAGCTCTCTCCGGCTTTCTCTCACGGAATGAGCGTGAGTAAGGCGGAAATCACGCAAGGGCATGATCCTGATTTCTTTTGTCTTTGCTCTCGCCTCATTGCGGGATTCCTGCTTGACCAAAGACAAAACCGCCACGCAGGCTAGAGCCCCACAGAAAGGCATTCTTCTTTCACCTGATAAGTGGTAATGGGTATTCTCATTTCCAGTTTGAAGGATAATGTATAAATAATATAGGGAGAAGTTACTTGTTAATCACTTCTGGGAGTTAAAAGGTTAAGTGATGGCGTCCATAACTGATCTGTTAAGTTCCTCTTTAGACTAACAATGTGGTAAAAAGACAATGTTTTTTTTGGGTAGCAGAAATATATGTCACATAGTTCCGAAGCATACTTCTCTATTAATTATGAGCCCTTTCGTTCTCAGCTATGGCTTCCGTTTTCAGTGATCCATTTCATCTAAGAAATAGCCTGTAGAACAGGCGCGATTTTTTGGGTTTTACTGGCGAATAGAGACTCGAGCCAACTCGTGCTTGACCTCCGTTCGGCAGAAAAACGCAGAAAAATTACACATGTTCTGAAGGCCATCTACCAAACACTGACCAAAAGCCTGGTATCTAATTAGCTTTTATCGTTAGCAGTCCGCAGTGATCCGAAACGTTACTATAATTTTCGTTTTTAAGACCACACGATTTTGGGTGCGAAGAGAAAAAGAACGAAAAATGAAATCAAAATAGAATATTTTCAAGGAATCTTTATGAGATTCATCTTTTTTTGGAATTAATGGAGCCAATCCAAGAACGGCCGAAAACTATTAATTTTTGTTTAAATTTCCCCTATTGAATGAAACATGATTAACTTAGCGTGACATTTTGACATGACTAGATGCTGTCAGTATGCGGAATAACTGAACTGAAATTAGAGACTTCCGTTCGTTCCAAGAAGCCAGACAACATATTAAACTTTCTGCCATTTAAGTTACTAACGTCGTAGGTGCGATGTCGTCAATGCATGGCTGGTTAAAAGTTTTTTAGAATTAAGATATTTGATTATTCACAAATACTTTCAGTTGATCATTACCAAGTCAAATGGAATCGAATGGCACAGAGAGAGACGCTGGGAAATTCACGAGCTCGAAAGGTGTCTCTGTACAGGACGGACCGAAAGATAAATCAAAACCATCCATGAAGGCAAGTAGAAGTGAATTACACAGGCATTTTAGGATCTAGCCTTGATTCATCAGCTCCGATTTATATCCATTAATATGTACTTTTTCAAAGGCTGTTTTTACACTTCTCTTTGTAGCACCATCTTGAAGCTTCAAGTAGAATGAATAATTCACACAATTTGTGTGTTTGTTCAGCTTTTCGATCGGCCGATTAACTACTTACTTATTTGCAAGTTTAATCAGCGAAGGCAAACTTATTCAGTCAGTGTTGCATCGCAAAATTATCCCATGTATTGCGTGGCTACAAGTTTAAGTTTTAGAGTGTGAATATTGATCATTTTAAAGTTATTGCTGTTATCTGTGAATAAGCATTGGTCGCTGAGAGGCTCGTTGTTAGCACCTAAGTTTAAAGGCCGGATAATGTCTGTTTATTAACGTTTTGCCTGAACGAAGAATTGGGCATAGACGATTTTTTTGGTCCTGCCCCAAGACTTGTTTTCTTGTAGAGTGCAGTCTGTCATGGATGTGGTTTTAAGCCAATACAACAACATTCAGCCGCTATTTAAGCAAAAGATGCTATGTTCTGTTTTCATCGTTTCAAATGTTTCCCTAAGAAATGACATTATCATGTAACCTTCGACCCGATCTGTCAATAAGTTGTTTCTAATATTTGTAGTCTCAACTTTTTTTCTAATCATAATTATTCATCTACTGCCATCTTCACAAGGCACAGTTCGCTGACTTCGTGCAAGAGTTAAGCAAGCGGTTAATTACGCTTTGTGTTGAATTTAATGCAATTATACTACGTTTAAGACATTAGTGCGTATGAAAGGAAGAAAACGGGAAGAACGTAACTATTTTTTTCAGGAAAATAATTCCTTTTCAGAACCAGGAAAAAAATCTAATGGCCATGATCAATCTGTGATTTTTTCCTGTTGAGAAGTCACTTTAAAAACAATTACAATATCAAACAGTGGAAAAATTACGTCAACAACATTGGGGCAGTATCAATTTTCACGAGAGCTCTCATGCGATCGATAGAATGAATTCATCACAGCCTTAACAATCTACTCTCCCCTTTGATGCCGATTTGAAAATTTCTTGTTAAGATACATATAGAGGCACATTTACTTTCTAGAGGACTCACAGTCTTACAAAGATCTTTGACAAAAAATGGTTGGTGAGAGTTTTCTTTGCTTTTTTAATTTAATATGAGCATTTTTAAAGTTCATTGTGTCATTTTAACACAACTTTTATCATAATCACAATTCTTATTAATTCATCACCATTCTTTTAATATCGTAAGCAATATGTTGTGATCAATCGTCTTTGCGAGAACATTTTTATTTGAAGGATAATCGTTTGCAGTGGCGGATCCAGACCTTGAGCCAAGGGGGGAGGAGAGAGGGGGCCATTTTTGTTTTGACTTTGCTTCCATCTGCGTTTGTTTATTTACCCAAAGTTTATTCGTATCTCTCATGACACTGATCCAGAGAAGGTTCTTCGCCTCTTGAGAGAAGAATGGAGACTAGATTTGCCCAAACTGCTCATCTCTGTCACCGGCGGTGCTAAAAACTTTGTTCTGCATTCCAAGTTAAAGCACGTGTTACGGCAAGGATTACTGAAGGTATTTCCTTATGAAGAAAAGTGACATTCGTTGTTTTCAAATGCGACGAGCTTCCGATAAATCCTTTGAATCAACAATTTGAAAGACGTTGTATCACGGCACAAATAAACCAAGTATATGACGTGGCACGAAGTTACCAACTCGCGAGGAGAGGGGGGGTTAAGGGTTCAGAAGTTTTGCTGTCACCTATTCTTGTAACAGATGAATAAAGCCTTTCTTCATTAGATTATTTTGACGACGAGCTTAAACCTCATCATCGCAACTAAATTTCTTTTACTTGTGATAATAAACCGAGTAAGTAAAATGACCAGGCTCTTGAGCATTATAGTACTCGTTGTTGTTCTTTTTTTTGGAGGGGGGGAGGGGAGGTAAGGGAAGGCTCGATTTGAATGTTCCCTTTCTATTAATTTCTGAAAGTCTCTTAATAGTGGTCAAGATAGTTTTTGTTTACTTGAGTTTTAGTCCTCTAATAGCTGACAAACTGAGTTTTAATCCCTGTTTGAAATGTTTTTTTTTTACTTCCTTTAATTATACGTTCTACAAATGAGGGTTGTGAATTTTCTGTCTAATGAGTAGTTCTTTTCAGGACCTTTACAATGTTTTACCAGATAAATTTGAGCATTGTCATTACCTGTTTGCTGAATAAAGTATGAGCATTATAGGGAGACATTTGACGGTCGTTAACAATGTTCCACAGGCAGCTCAGACCACAGGTGCATGGATCATCACAGGCGGGACTAACACTGGCGTGATGCGTCACGTTGGGGAAGCAGTAAAAGGTCACACAGTCATGTCACGAGGAACACAGCTTTCGAAAGACAAAACATCTCAGCTTCATCTTATAGGCATTGCTACCTGGGGAATTGTGAATCACAGAGAGGATTTGATCGACAGCCAGGTTAGGACTTTTC